GCAGCTTCACTGTCACAAATACAGAGAGACTCCAGGGGACCCCTACAAATGCAGAGACGCAGCCTCTCCTTCAGTGCTCGCTGCCTCCTCGACTCTTCCCTTCTCCGCTTCCCTTTAACCCAGCTTTCCTAACGCTGAGCACCGACTCCATCTGCAAGAAGTTGATTCCTAGAGCTAAAATATTAGGCTACAGCTATTCCTTCCTCTGTCAGAAAACAACAAATATGGTATCTGCCAACAAGGTTGCTGACGCTACACCCCATTTTATCAGTCTCACGGAAAACAATGACCTCTCGGGCATTTCTGAAGCGCCTCTGTGGGAAGAAGGCCACGTTACACACAAACATTCAGCTGCACTTGACCACCTGGGAGCAGAAAGCAAGCCAGCGGAGATACTTTAAAATCTTTGAGGTCGAGGCCACGGAGCACTGACGTACTGGCTCGGGGCATTTTCATCACTCCTTTGGTTTGGCGGCCTTCTACGTGATGTTTCACTGTCCGTGCCACACCTTTTGAGGAGTAAACAACCCACCTGCGATCCGATTAGAGCAATGCACTTTCTTCCATGAAAAATGACTTTCATGCAAATGTGCAGGCAAAGTCAAAGAATCTGTGGATCTCACAACTCAAGCATTTACTCCAGATAATAATCCCTGTGCTATGTGGATCAACTATGCTGTATTTACTTCATTTAAGGAATGAAATACTCAGTGTCATGATTTTGAAGCTATATGGTAGAATAACATCAGGGAAATGTAAGGAATGCCAGCTTTCCTTCCAAATCTTTCTCTCCCTAAGGACTAAAAGAGTCTCAAAACTGCATGCTCTCTGCAAATGAAACACCACACCCTCTGCGTGACTTAGAGACAATCCCATCTCAGAATTTAAATGCCCTTAATATTTAATTCTTTTCTCTATGTGGTTATTGCCTTCTCCACATTATCAAGATGATGGCTTTAGAAGGCAGGCTGTCGGAGATCCAGAAAACCATACGTCCCAATTCAATTTCCTTGTGGATATCAAAGAGCTCCCTCTCTTGAAGAGTTGAAAGAGGCTGAGGGGTCACTGTCTCCCCCCAGGGTGCCGGCACAGGCAGTACTCCAGAAGGGTAATGTAAATACTCAGTATGAGGCAACAGGGCATACCAATTTGTTTTTCAATCTATTTTATTTCAGTTCAAAGCATCTTTGCAGACAGATAGTCCAAGAAAACAAGCCACACTTTGGTTATACTCAGTCTTTCTCAATCTCCAAGTGCGGCAGAGTATTGCCAAAGTGTGGCTCGTTTTCTTGTGCTGCTTGTCTGCAATGATGCTTTGAACTGAAATAAAATAGATTGAAAAACAAATTGGTATGCCCTGGCTCTTCCTGCAGTTTCATATTATCCTTCAAAGCCAGTGCTACAACTACTCTTTACTGGAACCCAACAGGCCCAAATCACAGAGTAAAACTGCAATACTTTAAATGTGAAGGTCCCACCCAAACCTAAAATAGCAGTTTAATTCAGGGCTTGTTGTTTAACATTGCATTAACGTGCCACTCTCTGTCCGGCTCCTTGCTCCATTTGCTGGGCTGCATTACAGCTTTGATGACATGTGCAATATGGTGACTGGAAACGGTTTAAAACATGACATGCTGATCTTCTTATCTTCTTATACAGTGCGCTTGGTTGATTACTGCCTCTGTAATTTTTCCTGTTCATGAGCCCAAACATCATCTTTTTACCTATTCAAAAGCCTGTGACTTGCTTTAAAGTATTCCATACTCAAAGTAGGCAACATTACTTTGAAAAGTTTTAGAGGGGCCCCAAAATCATCTGCAAGCAAATTTTTTAATCACCACCACCGAGAAGCCTATCATTTTCTCACACTGTCTGGAGAAAATGCATATGGCTGCAAAGAAGGAACACAAATGACTTCAAGCTTCAAACAACTAAAATGATTTTTTTAATGTTCTGCATAGACAATTCTAAAATTTGGTCAAAAAACTAAATCCCATTTAAAAAAGTTCCTCCCTTAACAGAAACATTAAGAAAAAAGTCACCCCCACACTCAATTTTATCTGTAACGTCTAAATTTTTGTCACTATTTAACACTTGGGGTTTCCATTTGAGCCCATATTTGGTTAGTTTTTTTCTAACTGGAATTTAGCAGTATTTATAACAAGAAAACACTGAACCTATTGTTCCCCCATTTTCTTATATTTAATCTTCACAGAAACCCTTGAGGACACACCATTCATTACATGGGACACTTTAGATACTCCTCTGTAAGCGGCCAGAGCCTGCAGCTGTCAGCAGCAAGGCTGGGTCCAAGGCCAGGGACTCAGCATATGGATCATGGATCATAAACCACAGTCCACTCTCCATGTCTCCAACACCCCAAGTTTTTGTCACCTCACAGTCTCAACCTGCTGAAAGATCCTCCACACTTTCACCCTTTTCCCTTGCTGGCCAGAATCCCTATCACTCAACAAGTTGCAGCTTCAGCAGCCGCCCCCCCTCCCACGACACCCCCCCCAAACACACATACCCACACTCTGTGAAAGGTGTTCCCCCACTCAGCACTCAGTTTCCTTTATAGCCATTGCCACGATTTGGAATGGCTGTTATTTTTTTGCTCAGACAATGGGTTTTACGTCCATCCTGCTAGTCTGGATAATCTCAGGGCCTAGTAAAGCAGTGCCTGGTACACAGCAGACACTCAAATATTTGCTTGGTGAACAGCTTAGATTTAATATTTACCAAACACCAAGTTGTGGGCCCTGGCTAGCTGCTGACACAAAACAGATAAGGTGTGGTCCCTGCCCTTGAGGGCCTCCCAGGTAGGTAAAATGATAATAATCAGGGCAGCAGGTTTAGGCACAGCACTAAGAAGCTTAAGCCACTTCAGCATGAGTTCGATCACCGCCCCTGCTGGAGGTGACCCACATGGCACAGCAGATCTCTCCTGACCCACTGCTTCCCTCGGCAGTGTACTTCATCAGTCAGCCTATTCTGCTCCCCACTCTGTCTCTGGTGAATCCTCTCACTGCCCCTGCACCTCTGACCTGTACCCTAGTTCTGTATGCACAAATAAATCTTAAAATTTAAAAAAAAAAAAAAAAAAACAGGTGGAATTTTACAGTGAGCGGTTTAGGTTCAAATCCCAGTTCCCTTAGGCATCAGCCATGTAAACTTAGACATCTCTCAAGTGTCAGTTTCCTCTCTTTAAAAACATGAATATTAATACTGCCTATGTCATAGTCTTAGTGTAATAGTCCACGTAAAAGTGCACAGAGCAGTCTGGGCACAAAGGAATCACTAGTAACTACTAATAAGCGGATGCTTTCACAACTGAAATTACTTTTACATGTCATCCGCTCAAGCCTTAAAAAATTAAAATGTGTGGAAGACATGGTTATTTTGTTCAAAGAGATAGTTCCAGGGTCTCAAATCATCCCTAGCACCGTGTAGATGCTTAACAAATACTGAACGATTAATGCACTCATGCAAACAAGCACCCAGATGATGCTCTGAAATCATTTGTTAAACTAGTGAATGAATAGCCAGGTTTAGGATATACTGCCAGAGAAAAGAAAACATCTAATTAGTAGTGGCAGAAGTTTGCTGAGTTAGCCAAGTGGAGAAAAATTTCACTTTGAGGTTGCAATAAAATCTCCATAAACCATACAAAGGTTTGGATACTGTTTCAAGGAAGAAACCCATGGTCCCAGATTGAGAGAGCTGAAAAAAAAAAAAAAAAAAACTCGGAGGAGAATGATGTAGGTCACCAGGCAGGGGGCACCTGGATGAGCTCGGTTTGCCAGGTCTGTCCTCTACTACAACTGAAATTACCGTTACCATGTCATCTGCTCAAGCCCTAGAGAATTAAAATGCGTGGAGGGCCATGGTTATCTTGTTCACGGTGACAGTTCCAGGGGTTCAGAATAGTTCAGCCCTTCAGAACTGGGGCTCCTTCTACTTAGGAGAAGCGGAATATATGGCCAACGTATAGAGCCTCGTTGGCACAAAGTGTGAATGAATATAAATAAGGCACCTAGCTTTTTATAGTGGCTGAGTGAAAGATACAGGTTTCAAAGGAGAGGAACTAATTCCCACAATGAATTAGAAGTCGGTGAGACCAGAAAAGGTAATGAAAGCCAGGATGCTTTGACAGCTTAGGAGATCTTGGGGCTGGGGGCGGTTGTAAATGGAGTTTCCTATGCTAAGAAGGAAGGCATCTTTAAAGGAAGACAGTGATCAGTCTACTTGTGTCCAGGGCAGGGGCCCGCACTTTTTCTGTGAAGAGCCAGGCAAAATGTTTCCGCTTTAGACAAAGTGTTTGTGGTTCAAGCCAGCCAAGTTGCAGGATCTGCTGTCATGATTTCAACTCTAGCCTGCAGCAGAGAGGAGCCATGGGCCACACGTAAACAATGAGCACGGATGTGTTGCAATAAAACTTCAACTGTGGACACCGAAATTGGATTTTAGGTAACTTTCACAAGTTACAAGAGATAGTCCCCTCCCCAGAGTTCCTTTAGGATATCCTTCCCCTTAACACCGCCACTAAAAAAAAACCATACAAACCACTGTTAGCTCTTTGCAGACAAATGGAGAGGGTGGGAGGCACTAAGTGGCCCGAGGCCACAGCTGGCCCACGCCGGACGTAGGGATTTGGCCAGAGGGGATGCCAAGGCGAAAGGCAGCCTCCAGAAGAGGCCTCCGATCAGCCGAGCAGCGGGCCCCTAGAGGGGCGCGGGCCCGGGGTGGGGGGCCGGGCCGGCCAATGCCCCGGCGGGACCTGAAGCCTCTGCCCGAGGGTCACCCGGAAGCCTGCGCTCGGGGTGCGGGCCGCCCCTGGGCTCCCCGTCCCGGGGCCGGAGAGGCGGCTAGGATTTGCTGCAGCCCCGCGGAGATGACCACGCGAAGGGTCTCTGCGCGCCCCTCGTTGGAGGCGCCTCTCGGGGCTCAGCTGCAAAAGGGGTCTTCACGCTGAGTCCCAGCCCCGTTTCTATGGTTACCTGTTCAGCACCGATTCAAACTGCCGTTCTTTATTGACAGCGCCATAGAGGACACGAACACTCCTGCCCGAAGGGAACAATAAAGCTTTCTCCATTCAACAGCGCCAGAGACGCCAGAAGTCGGCCATTTTGAGGCCGGCGCGGAAGGGGTCCAAGGGGAAGGGGCGGCCCGGCCTCCCTGCGCGCCGCAGTCACGTGAGGGGCGGGGCTGCGTCACGCGCGCGTCCACCAATGCGGGCGCGTCGGGGCTCCCCGGGCGCGTCCCTCTTTCCTGACCTCTGACCCTCCGACAGCGCATCCCCTCCCACACGCCTTCGGGAAACTCTAATGGGGTGCCACCGCCCCTCGCTGGGCTAGGGCTTTAGTTCAAAGAATGGCAGAGAGGGAGATAAGACGTTTCTTTCCATTTTTCCGAAACACGTTCTGGTGCGAGGCGGAGACACGACCTGAGCCTCGTCCTCAGACGTAGTCTCGTTGGTGGAGAGGTCAAGCGTCGCTCAGACGTGATAGGCTAGCAGACCTGGACCAACCAATCACTGTGTTCTGAGGGCACTTTGGTCCCGCCTCTCTCCCAATTTTAGGAATTAGAGGAGCAAAGGGGACCGCGTAGCTCTCGTTTTGCTTAGTTTCCCTCTCACGCGCAGCTCCCCACGTTGGAGTTCCTGCCACCCTCCCACAGCCAAACAGATGAAGTCCGACCCAGATAGTATCACACAAATTAAGTCACAGCGGCGCGGGGTCCCTGAACCTCGCACTCGGTGTCACTGACAAGCAGCCAGTTTCTGTGTCACTGCCAGAGGTCTCTGCGCAGAGCCAGAGCTGTTACATTCAGGTGTCAATATTCAGCCGTCCCGGGCACTGTCATTGTCAGAATGACTGCACTCCGTCGCCGTTTATAAACAAATTCATTCTACGAGGCAGAACTGTCACTCGCATTGTTGCTATCTATCATCCGTCTGTCATTTATTCACTATTACTCCGGTGCGTGACCGCTGCCAGTGACCACAAACATCAAACACCAATACTGTACATTACAGTACTTTGGCTGGTACCTGCCACCCCTTTTGTTTTCACCGTCATAGTCACTAAACTGTTCCCCAGTCAGTATTTTAGCAGACCACTGCAGAGTACACAGCTGTCCTTGTTACTGCCCAATTAGTCATTTTAGTTATTGTACACACGTCATGGTTACATTCAGGGTCAGATTTACTGTAACTGACAGACACTCTTCTAGTCACTAGATCCACATCTATAATATTATGTCCCCCAGTCACTCAGGTCCATCATTCCCAAATTCCCCTTTACTTGACAGACCCCAAACAGGGTTGCTAAATTTGGCAATCAAACATCTATAATGATGCTTGGTACAGAGTAGATGCTCAAGAAATAGTTATTGAATTATTTTTTAAAGCATTATTACTAAAATACTGTATGTGAATGAGGATAACCTGAGGTTTATCAGTCTCATACAACAGTAATAAATTTGTAGTTTCAATGTGTCCTGTTCCTCTTAAAAATACTTTGCATCCTATAGACACCAGAAATGTGGTATCATGTAGATTGAATTTCTGGGACTGTGGTTACAAAGAATAGGGTGGTTTTTTTTTTTAAGTTTTTATTTCTTATTTTTTTAAGGACCACATGTTTTATTGCAGAGCATTTTTAAAACTGTAGGAAGAGGGAGCCTCCCTGGTGGCACAAGGGTTAAAGTCTCAGCACTATCAAGCTATCACCAGTGCCAGCCACGGCAGCATGAGTTTGATCCTGGCCATACAGCTGACCCACATGGTGCAACAGACCTCCCATACCTCCCACTACTCCCCTCAGCAGTGTATTTCAGTATATCTACCTGTTCTGCTCCCCACTCGGTCTCTATCGAGTCCTCTCACTTCCTGCACCACTGGCCTACACCCAGTTCTTATATGCATAAATAAAATAAATATTTAAAAAATTAAATACAACTACAAGAAGGATTCTTTTCTTTTGAAGGATTGCTTTGGCATAACAAAGAATGTTATGCCCCGGTATACTACACACCCATAGAATCAGTGGGTCGGTGGCTAGTTTCCTCATAATTGCTTGCTTGAGGTTTTGCATTCTTATAAATAAATTCCCGTGGGCCGACTTGCCTTACAGAACCACACAGAGACAGGAGAGCAGTGACTGGCTGGCCATTGTAATGGAGATTAAGCGGACATGGCTAACCCCTCTAAGGATCTCAGGCCCCCAGTAAACCTCAAGGGTTCTGGAGAAGTAACTTGTGCTTCCCGGTCATTCATCCTGAAGGGAAATGACCTTGAGGACTTCACAACCTTTTTTCCACCTTGATAGAGAATGCGTCCAGGTGGGTGACTGAGGTGACTCCAGCTGTTTCTGGAGTAACTGCCATGAACACTGTGCTGAATAAAACAACATCCCCCCACTTCTGCTATAACTGCAACCAACTTGCCCTTAGTCTTTTCCAGGGCCCATGCGCGCCCTTAAGTTCCCTCATTTGATTCTCACGACTACCCAATGAAGTAGGTAACTTTCCTCCTTTTATACAGGAAAAGCAATCAGACCCAGAGGAGGTAACTTTAGGCTCAGGTTCACATGGCTAGTAAGCAGGGGAGTTGCGCATCCAACCCCGGAAGCCTCCCTCCAAAGCTTTCACCTTCCCCCCTAGAATTGAACATGTAGTTTTTATACAATTACATATGTCCAAGGATTACAGAAAAAAATACAAAGAGAGTTAATAACAGAATCGTCATAAATCCCACCACTTAGAAGTAACGTATTATTATTATTATAGATGAACATTTCTCTGTCTCTGGGCATATACATGTAGGTAAGTAATTGGAGAAATAATAAAAATCACAGTTTCCCTCCAGAAGGCACTCTATGCTGGACCCTGTTCCAAGTGCTTTCTATGAATTAACATATTTAATTTACTTAGAAAGAGCTAGAGAGACATAATTTTATTAAAATGAGCTCATTTAACATATTCACAGTTCATATCAGCAGCTAACCACCTGGTGATGTTTTTCCCAAAGTCTGGTTCTTTCCTCATTCTTTGCTGTCTTCTCTCCGCCTTCCAATCAAAGCCTAAGCCCAGATTTGTTGGGCTGCAAAAGCTGCGTCTTTAAATAGCAAACTCGGTGCAGCTGTTGGCCGGTCAAATGTCTGCTCTGTTCCCCCAGGCAGTGATGTTATTTGTAGAAGTGAAATTGCTAGGAGCTCGACATATGCCTTTTATTTGTTAGTGTAGGTACCCAGGCCTTGGTGTTCTTTGTCCTGCTTTCTAAGTTAGAATTTCACTATCCTTTTCTCCAGTCCAAATGAAGCTGGTCTTCAGGTCCTGCCCAGTGGAGACCCGAGAGTCTCAGATGAGGAAACTTGGAATTTGCCGAGTGACTCAGAAAGGTCAGCTGCCTGCTCACCCATCTGGGGTGACAAAAAATGAGGAGGAGAGAGCTGGCCCTGCACCAAGGGGCTGCCCAGCTAGTGGGCATCTGGAGCACTTCTGTGGGCCTGGGCCTTCCAATATCTTCTATGGTGAATGAATCCTTTGCCTCCCCTGAGACAAAGGCACAGCCACACGGAAGATGATGGAGTCAACTTCTCCACAGAGATGGAGAATCACAGGAGCTATGGTTTTTCAGCCAAGTCTACTTCTCTCCTCCACTCCCTGGCTCAGAGATGACAGCCCACCTGCCATTCCCTGTCTGATTGCTTGGGCCAGACACCCTGGCTTCTCTCAACCCATCACTACGTCTTGTTGATTGTACCTCTCCATGCCTGAGGTTTAAGTCAAATGACCTTTACCTGTCACCTAATGTCCGCCTCCTTCCTCCTCTTTAGAGATCATTTACTTTTTTCTGGTTGTGTAGTATTTCATTTCTTTTAGAGTCATTTTTTTATATTAACTTATATATATATATATACACACATATACACACATACACACACATATATATAAGGCAACAATGTATTCCTTTGAAGTGTTCTCAGAAATAGAGACACCTATCATCATATCAAGATATAGAACTTTATTTTTTAGGGCAGTTTTAGGTTCCTAGAAGACAATACATGGATTTCCCCTCAAAACACAGCTCAGCCTCCCCTCCCATCATCATCCCAGCTGAATGGTATGTTACAATGGATGTACGCACAGATCACTGTTGCTGGAAATCCATAGCTTACATTAAGGCTCTCTCCTGGTTTGTACATTCTATGAGGTTTGGTCAAATGAATAACAGTCACCATTACAGTGTCATGGAGAGCAGGTTCACTGCCTAAAAATCCTCTACGCTCTGCCTATTAAAGCACCCCTTTTACTCAGTCCCTGTAGCCACTGACCTTTGTCTCCATAGTTTTCTTTTTCCAGAAGGTCATATAGTTGGAGACATATAGTAACTAGGAAAATATATTTGCCATGTTACTATAGATAGAAGATTAATTTCCCTAATACATGAAGAACTTCTAGAAATTCATAAGCAACTACTAAAGTCTTCTGGAAATCATAGAAGAATGGGCAAAACACCAAGAGTAAGTCGCACACACAGACACACACGCACAAAGACATGAAGATGGTCTATAAATACGGGAAAATTCGGGAAGTTTGACAATGTGATGGCAAACAGGCATTCTCCAACTCTGCTGATTGGAATATAAACTGGAATCCTTATGTAGATCAACAACATTTTCCCTTTGACGCAACAATTCTCTTCTGGGTATTTTAAATATATATTTGCATGTATACATATATATATTTGCATGTGACTCATGTCCAAAGTTATTCACTGGGGTAATTCTTAAAAGAAACAGAATTTAAACTCGATGACTTGTTTAGGTACAATCATACATCACCTAACAAGGGGGCAGGAACATGCTGAGAAGTGCCATTAGGCAATTTCATCACGTGCAAAGGCTAAAAGGTATAACCTCTGCTCACCTACTACACACCTAGTTTCGCCTGCTGGGGCCACCTGGGATATGATGCAGCTCAAACAGAGTAAGGATGTTCTAACACCCTTATAGGGAGAGAATTCCAACATATATTGCTAAATTAAAAAAATAATAATAAAAAGAACAGGGATCAACAAACTTTTTTGTAAAGGGCCACATCTTTACAGACCCTCACCTATCA